GCAATGATCCTCCAAACACTGTACATAACTTAGGACACAGTTCCAAGTCTATGAAATCTGCTTACCCATTCTCATTAGCCTCTGAAAGACTTCAGGGAGCTCTGTTAGTATCTTCTTTTGAGCACATTCACATTTTACTAACGGGGGTAAGGCAATCCACCCAGGAACCCACAATTTAAACCTCCCTTTCTTTCAAGTTCTTCTTGTTCTTGAAGGTTTGGAGGATACTTAAGATGAAAGACTTCAAAGCCACCACCAGGATAATGAGGAGAAAGATAAGGAAGTAGTCCTCCAAGTATGAATAAGGAACTTCATTCCTTCTTTAGATTAATACGTTCTCTCCCTGTTGGTAATACCACATGCCCAGTGTTTATAGTTTACTGGCTTTAATTCTAATAACAGTATTTCAGAGTATGTTAGGAATGCACTCTAACACTTAAGTGCTGCTCTCCAGCAGAAGAGCTAAGGAACTTTTTATAACAACACTCAAGCCCATTTATCTCAATTTAAATGATTCTAAGGGAAATCTATTTCCCATTGTGCTTCCACCATGATTTACCTTTACATCAGAATTTAGTCCTCATTGCCAGTTTTTGCAATTCAAATTTCAAATTTTTCTTAAATCACTGGAAAGACACCAGAGAGATGAAAAGATGACGCTCCAAAGGTACAACTTGCAATAAAACAATAAAAAGAGACTTAAGATACCAAGAAGTACCCTCCTACCTGCATTAGAGGGCAGGGTCCAATGCTGGATCCTAAGTAAGGTTAACAAAATATACCTGATAATGCAGCAATGATTAAAGTACACCAGAGGAATACAGACTCTTGGCTACCACTAGAGGTATACCCTACGGTAGCTTTCCAGATGGCTAAAAAAAACCAGGAAGAAAAAATGACATGTGAGGCAAGCAGGAACTTGGCCAGACCTTAAACAATATCCTCAGAGGATAAGAGCAAATACCCAACTTCTCAGATAAAATGATGAAAATTTCTGCAATGACCTAATCCACTAGACATACCACATTTCACTAATAAGATGCCATGTTTGTCATATTAATTCCTCCCCAATGCCCTATTGGCAAACTCAGGGCAGGCTCAGTTCATTCATTTACATCATAACACATTCCTGGAGTAATGTAGTACTTGAGAAATTGGGCTTCTGGCCCATAAACCATGTCCTATAGACGTAGAGATAAAAGACTGTTATAAAGAAGTGACCAATTCATAAAACCCATCACATACTATTTTGAAGAGCTTTCAAGGACTCTCTTCTCACTTCGAGAGAAGAATGACTGAATCATTAAACGAGAGCAGGTAGCTCCTTTTTCTGACCAATTTTAATAGCAATAAAATTTCTTCACCAAGGCCAAGGGTTCGGATCCTTGTACCAGCTGGAAAAAAAAAATCTTTGGGTAATTCATGAAAATGAAAGATGAAGTTTTCAATATTATTGTAAAGCTAATTTAAAACTCACTGGCTTCTGGCTCTGAAATGAGGATATACACAGTCACTAACTCCATGACTACTAACTCCTTGACTATTGATGATTCAATTAACTCAGCTGCCTGAGTTCCAAATGGGTAAAGGTAAACAGCAGATTACCTTGGCTCACTGATAATCTGCTTTAAAAAAAAAAAAAAAAAAAAAAAAAAAAAAAAAAAAAAAAGGCTAAATCAATCTCAGAGACTTAAAAACTAACTCTAACAGCAATGCTATGCAATAAAAAACTCTGGATACCTCCATTTCTCTCTTACAATCTGGACATTTCTTTTTTTTTCATGGCTAGTCAGTAAGGAGATCCAAACCCTTGACCTTGATGTTATCAACACTGATAATCTGGACATGTGCCAGACATGTTTAGAATAACTTTTCTACAGTAGAAACAATTCATTAATAAGCCTATCTACTGAAAGCAGAGTTTAGCTAGTCAGTCAATCCATGATTTTAAGTGTGTAACTCTCCTGATAGAATACAGAATCTAGAACATGAAACTCTGAAGATCTGTCTTCTACAATAGGGCATATTTTTACAGAATGTCTTCTACTAAAGTCTGTTTGCTTTTGAAATGCTAGTATTGTTTTATTTTTTATTTTTATTTTTTTTTTCCCTTTTTGTCTTTTCTCGTGTCCGGCAACGGATCGCAACCCTCAGTGTCGCGCCCGTACCGGACCGGGACCGGCAACGGGATTGCAACCCTCGGCGCTGCACCCTTACCTCGCTCAGCCAGTGAGCGGGAACCGGTCTGTATGTGGGATCCGAACCCTCGGCGGGAGCGCCACCGCGCTCCCAAGCGGCGCACTTATCCAGTGCGCCACCGGGCCGGCCCATGAAATGCTAGTATTGTTTTAAACTGGCAACAAAAAGGCTGCTTTCTTTTAGCTCTTTCTGGAAGGCAGCTATGCTTACCACTATACCACCAACGCCGCTCCCAAGCGGCACACTTATCCAGTGCGCCACCGGGCCGGCCCATGAAATGCTAGTATTGTTTTAAACTGGCAACAAAAAGGCTGCTTTCTTTTAGCTCTTTCTGAAGACAAGTTTCTGTCTTAGGTTCGTCCTCATCAACACTAAGGACCATAACACTGGTATTGACTCTTATACATTTAATAGAATACATTCTAAAATGCCCCACCAGGTTGGTGGTGGGAACTAAGAGCTCACAAGCATACCTTGCCTCCCACCCTAGCCATCCTAGGAAATACTTCCTAATAAGACATCACAATTACTGGGTAGCACCTAAAACCCTGAAATAAAAAATTATCTTCAGAAAGATAAGAATTTTACAGTGGCTGTCCACAGACTAAGAATACTGATTCACTGCATACATGGATGTCACCTAGAGCATAAAATGTGTAACCTTTCCCTAAGGCTGGGCGAGGGGAATTCTGACCCAGCACAGAAGGTAATAAGGAATGGTCAAAGTTATTCCTCTGTCAACATGTTTCCTTTTCTCCTCCCACTCCCATGCCCCCACCCTATACAGATCTCCAGATCTCATAAAAACACAAATGATACAAATGCAATCTCAGCCCACCTTATTACCACCTCCAAGAGTCTCTAATTTACAATGGAGAATTTAGACCCCGGATGGTAGTAATGAAAGTTGATCAGCCTAAAATGATCACTGGTCTGAATGAACAAAGTTGCTTTCATTGCAATGTCATCAATATTTTCTTAATTTTCATGTACCTTGCCTCCTCCAAAAAAGATGGGGAAGAAAAGCCAACAAAAGAAGGTTTAAAATTCCTCATCTATGCTGTCATACTATTAAGATGGTCCAGCTGTGGAGATGAAAAAAGAACTCAGAAAGAAATGAGACCTTTTCACGGTCTACATCTTTGATAATCTGTTGATGTAAATACTACAGAACTCAACAGCTTAAGAAAAAATGTATTCCCTCCACAGCGAAAAAGAAAGGGGTAGTTGCAGTAGAGATGAACAACACTGCAGTACAAAGGTAAAGAATTATAATACTGTCAACTCTGATCAGGTGTGCTAATAGAGCAAGAGAAGGAAGTGATGAACAAAGGAAATTATTGTTTAGTTTTAAGAATGCATTTAGAAATATATACACACCAACATCTAATATCCCCTCTATCCTCTGGTCATGTACCCCCACCAGACTGCTCTGAATCACGTTTATAATGATATTAGGTGGAATTTACAAAGCACACATCTAAGCTGACCAATTAGAAATGATTTTAAAAATCAACCAGGAAAATGTGTTCTAAGGCAAAATGCAAAGTAGTATAAACTAATGTATGAATTATTAAAAACTCTATCAGTGACGTGCAATGAAAATAGAAAATATTTGAGTGTCTACCATATGTTAGGCATAATCTAAGTGCTTTATATATGTTCCCTCACACAATACTAACGATGACACTGGGAGGTAAGTGGTATTATCCCACTTTTATTTTATTTTTTTTGGAGGCTGGCCGTACAGGGATCTGAACTCTTGACCTATCCCACTTTTAGAGATGTGGAAATTAAAAGTCAGAGAAGCTTAAGTAACTTGCCCAAGGTCACATGACTAATAAATCTTAGTATAGTATTTAAACCCTGGCCTGTCCATCTCTAAAGACTGTACTTTTCCATCTGTATCTTACCGATACCCATACACACCATCATTAATAATTTTATTTTGGTCCATAGTAACCATTTTCTAATCTGGGCACCATGTGGAATAAAACTCACCCAGTGTCACTTTCAACCTTTTCCAACAACAAAAAAAAAGATGCCTCCGTTCCAGAGCCACTCAGTTCTTTTATCACATCTCATGAGCCTTAATCACAGTACTATCCTCTGCAACCAGAAACCTAAGAGCCTTACAAAAACTACACTTATAAGTATGTTCTGCCTCCCTTTTTGATATTGGCCCATGTTGCTGAATGTACAGGATGATCCTTCTCCTAACCAAGAATTCTTCAGATCAGCTGCAAAAGAGCAGCCACTATTTTATTTTACCCAAAATTTCATACTATGTCCTGCAAAGTTGGAATTCTGAAGTATATTGAACTCAGACACCAACTAAAGGCAGCATCACTTATCACTCCTCAGCTTTTAGTCACAAGGGGCTAAATATTCTCTAAATGACAAGGGATAAACCAAAGCCCTGAAAGGAGAAGAGACTAGATTTGACAAAAGGCTGTAAAGAACTCAGACAAACTAATTCCCAGTTTTTAACAATGTAAGAAACATGATCAGCACAAAGGCAAAACACAAGGCACATGAATAAAGAAGAAAGTGGGAGACATGGAAGGGGAGAGCCACACATTCAAGTCATTTGAAGATATACAGCAATAGCTCAGGACAGAAAGTCAAGACACGCACAGCCAATTAAACGTGTAAAAGCAGTAATTTAACCAGAGCTGGAACACAGACAAGAACAATACCCAAACTCTTTGGGTAACTGTGATAGGAATTTTATGATTTTAGGGGTCAGCACTTGGGTATCAGGGCAGGATCTGTCTTAAATGCCTTCAACTCCCACTCACCTTTCCTCCTTTTATCACTGAAGTAAGGCCAGGCTGAACTCCTGAGAAAATAGGTCTGTAGATTCACTGAAGGACTGAGAAAAGTTAAAGTTTACATTGTGTCTCTTTTGCTAAACATAATAAAAATAGTTATGAATACATTTTAGTATTTTTTAGATACCATCAGAACTATTTAAAACCAGAGTAATTTATCTGACTACTGAACAAATAACCCACACACATATAGAAATAAAATGAACCACACGAGGACGTGAGGATAGGCAGCTAATCTCCCAGCTCCACCAAAATGTAAAAGTCATTTAAAAAGAAAACCTGAATTGTTTCACCGCTAAACCATAACCAAACAACTCAACAGGAAGCCACGGCGGGGGGCGGGGGGATGGGGATATCCCGGAGAGAATGTGATAGCGCTAGTGCCGGTTTGTTTACAGACTCCAGCAACAATCATATGAGTCAGAAATTCAAGCCACCAGATGCTTTCCAACTAACAGGGACCAAATGGGACCGTTCTAAGATGTCCTAAAAAATTTGGGGTTGGGGCAGGTAAACTACGAATTATATTACAAAAGGTACAAGACTAGACGACAATATACTGACGCCCGGATTCTTGGACCTCGGCCTTCCGTACAAGGTGCTGGGCCTGAGAACTTGGGATGGGGGATGGGGACACAGTGCGCGGTGGCCCTGAGGTGTCGACGAGACGCAGGGCGAGCCGCGTCCCCCAATCTAAGGGGGAAAACGGAAGCACACAAATGGGTCACCCGACGAAGCAAGACGTCCCTGTGGACTGTGAAGCTGGCCTTGGGGGACAACCCCAGAGCTGACCTAAGGAAAGGACAACCAGTCCTCTCCGCTGTGACTCGGGTCAGGAGAAGAAGACCTTAGCCCTACGAGCTTGGGAAAGCGGTCAGGCCCATCCTGAGGTGGAACCGGTCAGGGAGAGGATAGCAGGCCGAGCCGGAACGAGACACGGACCGGGTAGGTCAAGGGGGGGTGTCCGGCTGGAGCAGTTACAAGCACGGGAGCCGACGAGGCTCAGCAGCCCGCTTCCCGTCTTGGGTCATCCTTCTGCCAGCGGCTGCTCCGACTGTTCCAGGCCCAGCCGCCCCGTCCACTGCCTCCACCAACGCCGCCGCCATCTTACACTGGCCAGCGGCGGCCGCCACCACCACCGCCTCCGCTCTCTGCGCTTGCGCCTGCGCTGCCACGCTTTCCGGCCCCGTTTGCGACGATGTGCTGAAGAAGACTGACGGAAGAGTGGTCGCGAGAGCTCACGGCTCCCAACCCTCCTCGAAGGACGCACAAGGGGTGGGGCTTAAGGCCAACGGGAAATAGAGCGGGGGGCGCCTGCGCATTACCGAGGAGGCAAAGTTGTTTTCGTCGTGGTTTGGACGGGTCGCTTACCATATGATACTCAAAACATATGCGAGTTCGGGCCTTTCCAGAGTTGTGATAGAAATAAACTTCATTTCCAAGGGAGTGGCAGGCAACTTACAGGGTGACCTCCAGTTTTGCCGTTTTCGAACGCTGGGAACAAGCAATTTTCACCAGATTTCTTTTGAAAAAACCCATTTCCTTTAAGGATTTTGTTTCCTTAAGTGGTTTCTGTACTATCGAGTCCCGCTTCTCCCTAAGAGCCTCCACTTACCCATTTTAGAGAACGGAATCAGAAGCTTGAGGTGCAACTAAGCTGTTTAAGTTGCTCAGTCTCCGAAGAGGAGTGGTGTGGTGAAAGTTCCCAAGAATAAGCTGGCTGATGTAGGGTGGCTTTTGCACACTCTGCCTTGTTCTAACACCTTGAGGAAGGGTGCAGAGATAACTCCCAGCTGCCAGACTAGGAGATTTTTTACCAGAAGTCCAGGGTGCGAGAATCTGACCCCTTCTCACCTACTCCACCGCTTCCATCCTATTCTAAGTCATCATACTGTGTATTTAGACTACTGCAATAGACACTTACCTGGTTTATTTTCATTATTGTCCTGCTGTAGTTAAGCATAGGACAGCCAGGGTGACTTTTAAAAAATGTATGTCAGGTCATATTATTTCCCCTCTCAAAACCTCCAATAACTTCTTGTCTCATAATAAAAATCAAAAGTATCACGGTCTCCAGGGAAGGCCCTACATGATCTGGCAGCTGCCTATTTCTCTGATTTGATCTCCTCCCACACTGCCTAGCTCTGCTCTATACTCACTGGCCTTCTTTGTTGACAACTCCAACAAAAGAATGTTCCAGCCCCAGGATTGCTCCCTTTCCTTGGAATGTCCATCTAGATCTTTACTAGACTTGGTCTCTCTAATCAGGTTTCCATTCAAATGCTACTTCCTAAGAGAGGCAGCTCTTGACTATTCAAACTAAAATGGAACCTCATGCCATATTCCTTCTCTACCCTCTTCTCTGCATTGTTATAACTGTTAACATTTACATGTTATTATTGAACCTATAATCATATATTTGCAATCTAGCCTATACTATTAGAATATACACTCTCGAGGGCAGGGACCATGTCTTTTTCATCTTTGTAACCTCAACACCTATAAGAGGACTAGAACACAAAGTAGCTATTTAATGCCTTACAGTCCTATTCATTTCATTCACTCCATCAACAATTACTTATTGAATTCCTACTACATGAGAGGCCCTCTTCTAGATGCTGGGCTGGCAGCACTGAATAAAACCAAGATTCTTGTATTCATGGAACTTATTTATTAGTGCAAGGGTTGGGAGGGTAGAAGAGAAATACAATAATATTAGTTATGAAGAGTACTATAAAGGAAAATAAAGCAAAAAACAGTGAATAAAAACTTAGTGCAGGAGTTGGGAGTATAGAGGGAAGAGAGACAGAAAATAACATACAGTTATGAAGGGTACTATGTAGGAAAATAAAGGATAAAAATGGATTGCCAGGGCAGGTGTGCTCTTTTACATGGAGGCCCCTCTGCTGAAGTGACATTTGAATAAAGATCTGAAGTGAAAGAGTGAGCCATACACACTTGGGAAAGAACATTCCAGACAGAGGAATAACAAGGCAAAGACCCTGAAGCTCAAGTGTGCTTGGCAAGGCAGCAAGTGTGGCAAAACAGCAAGTAGGAAATTAGTTTGGAGAAATAAGATGGGAGCCAGATCACAAACTTATGAACCAAGGAGAGGACTTTGGACTCTATCCTAAGAGTGCTGGGAAGGCATGGAGAGCTTTGAGTAAAAGAGTGAGATGATCTGATTTATAATTCAAGAGGCTCACTCTGGTTGATTCTTTGAGAATTGCCTGCAGGAAGGCAAAATGGAAGCTGAAAGACCAGTTAGGAGGCTATTGCAAAAGGCTATTGCAAAACTAGTGTTGCAATGGAAGTGGTAGGAAGTGGTTGGATTCAGGATATACTTTGGAAGTAGTGTAGAGGTGACTTGCAAGATAAAGGGAAGAGTTAAGAATGTCTCAGGTTTTGACTTGAGTAACTAGATAAAGAGTAATGCCATTTACTGAGAGAGAACATGTGGTAGGACAAGAGCAGGTTTTTGTGGGAAAACATCCAGTTCTATTTTAGGCATAATAAATTGGAGATGTCCATATGGAAATCAAATGGAATCAAATGGGGCTACTGAGTAAACAACTGGAAATACGAATCTGCAACTCATTGGAGAAGGGACAACTGGAAGTATAAATTGGGAATTAAGTTATACATAGTATTGATAGCCATGGGGTGAGGAGAGCTCACTTGGTTAATGTGGGNGATTCAGGATATACTTTGGAAGTAGTGTAGAGGTGACTTGCAAGATAAAGGGAAGAGTTAAGAATGTCTCAGGTTTTGACTTGAGTAACTAGATAAAGAGTAATGCCATTTACTGAGAGAGAACATGTGGTAGGACAAGAGCAGGTTTTTGTGGGAAAACATCCAGTTCTATTTTAGGCATAATAAATTGGAGATGTCCATATGGAAATCAAATGGAATCAAATGGGGCTACTGAGTAAACAACTGGAAATACGAATCTGCAACTCATTGGAGAAGGGACAACTGGAAGTATAAATTGGGAATTAAGTTATACATAGTATTGATAGCCATGGGGTGAGGAGAGCTCACTTGGTTAATGTGGGAGAACAGAGAAGCAATCTAAAAACTGAGATCTCTAATCCTGAGGCATTCCAACTAGTAGAGGTCAGAGAGCAGGAACATCCAAAAAAATTTATTAAAAGGAGCAGCCAAGAAATAGGAAGAATAAGAAAACCAAGAGTGTGAGGGGTCGTAAAAACCAAGTAAAAAAATTAAAAATTAAATTAAAAAGTTTCAAGAAGGCACTATCAACTGAGTCATTTCTGCTCAAGAGACTGAGGTTAAGATGTCTGAAAACTGGCCACTGGATTTGGAAACATGAAAATTAGGACTTTCACAAGAGTGATTTTAGTAGACCTATGGGGATAAAAGCCTCTCCCTCTATGATCTGGTTTCTGTACCCACTGCTTTGTGGGCACCATAGTATTACCACCAAGTCAACTGCCATTACCACTAATTATTCCTATTTGAGCTTTTCTATTGCATTTGGGGTTGTGATGATCATTATCCCTTCTACTCAATCCCAGTGGTTTCTGTGACATTATATTCCATGGTTCTATTTAAATCTTTCTAACCATCTATTTCATTAGCTTCTCTTCCCCTTCATTCTACATGTTCTTCTAAAATGATATCAATTTTCACAGTTTAAACTGCCATTCACATAATGATGACCACCAAGTATTTATTTCCAATCCAGGCTTCTTTTTTTCAAGCTTTCTCATCACATATCTGATGGTCAATGGCTCGTTTTTAAGCTTTACTAAGATATACCTCACATATAATTCTCCCATTTAATGTGTACAATTCAATGGCTTTTAGTATCTTCACAGATATGTGCAACCATCACCAATTTTAGAATATTTTTACCAAAAAAAAATTTTAAAAAGTGCTCTTTAGCTATCATCCCCATTCCCTTCCCCTCCACTCCCACCATTAAAAGACCAATAATTTATTTTCTGTCCCTATAGACTTCCATATTCTGGACTTTCATGTGAATGGAATTACATACATTTTATGTGGCTTTTTGTGACTGGCTTCTTTCACTTAGCACAATGTTTTCAAGGTTCATCCATATATCATGTATCATGTATGATCCTTGTAATAGCCAGCCACAAAAAAGAATAAATTACGTATCACGTATCAGTACTTCATTTTTTCTTACGGCCAAATAATATCCCATTATATGGATGAACCACATTCTGTTTATGCATTCATGTTGATGAATATTTAGGTTTTCAAAAAAGAATAAATTACGTATCACGTATCAGTACTTCATTTTTTCTTACGGCCAAATAATATTCCATTATATGGATGAACCACATTCTGTTTATGCATTCATGTTGATGAATATTTAGGTTGTTTTCACTTTTTGTCTATTATGAATAATCTTGCTATAAACATTCATATACAAGTTTCTGTGTGGACATATACTTTGGTTTCTCTCTGGTATATACCTAGGAATGGAATTGCTGGGTCATATGATTAACTCTATGTTTAAACATCTGAGTAACTGCCAGACTGTTTTCCAAACCAGTTGCACCATCTTACACTTAACAGCAGCAGTATACGAAGGTTCTGATTTCTCCCCATCCTTGCCAATACTTGTTATCTGACTTTTTGTCTGTTTTTCTATTATCTGACTTTTTGATTCTAGTCATCCTGGTGGGTGTTTAGTGGTATCTCATTGTGGTTTCGATTTGCAATTCTCTCATGACTAATATTAAGCATTTTTTCATGTGCTTATTGGTCACTTTTATGTCTTCTTTGGAGAACTGTCTGTTCAGATCCTTTGCCCATTTTTAAATTGGGTTGTGTCTTTTTATTTAGTATATTCTAAATACAGTCCCTTATCAAATATGTGATTTGCAAATATTTTCTCTTGTGGGTTTTCTTCTCACTTTTTTGATGGTGTCTTTAGAAGCACAAAACTTTTTAATTTTGATGTGGCCCGATTTATCGATTTTTTGTTGTTGCTCATGCTTTTGGTGTTACATCTAAGAATAGTTTGCCAAACCCAGTCATGAAAGTTTTATCCCTGTTTTCTTCTAAGAGCTTTACTTTTAGTTCTTATGTGCTTTGACCCACTTTGAGTTAATTTTTGTAAATGGTGTGAGGTAAGAAGCAAACTTCATTCTTCTCTATGTGGCTATCCACTTTTCTCAGACTATTTATTTATTTTTATTTTTTTACTTATTTTTTAAAGATGACCAGTAAGGGGATCTTAACCCTTGACTTGGTGGCGCCAGCACCACACTCTCCC